CCAATTGCAATACTACCTGCAATATCAAAGATTTTCGAAATCCTTTTTAAAAATCGATTGTGTATTTTTTTAGAAAAAAACAATTCAATCTATAAATCTCAGCATGGTTTCCAAAAGGGCAAATCTTGTAGAAATTGTTCAAGAAATAAATAATGCTATAAATGCAAAAAAGGAACCTGAAGTAGCCTGCTTGGATTTAAGCAAAGCGTTTGATTGCATAAATCACGATGTTTTGCTAAAAAAAATGTCATACTATGGTATTAGAGGATTGGCCAACAACCTGTTGTCATACTTAAAAAAACACAAATCAACTCGTTATATGGAATGAGAAATTATCTGACACACAAGTCAATGAAATTGGTGTCCCTCAGGGCTCCATCCTAGGACCTTTGCTATTTATCCTGTACATAAATGACCTACCTTGGAACATTAACACGTTCAAAATATGTATTTATGCAGACGACACTACAAAAATTAGCCAAGCGAAAACCAGCCAGTCTATCAAATAAGTCCACTTCCTATTGGTTTAAATTAAATGGATTGCAACTTATTGTACAAAAAACTTAAAAGCTTATATGTACTACTAAATTTATTGAAAAAGAAAACGTTAAAATCCTAGGCGTAATCGTGGACAATAAACTTACCTGGTCGGTACATATTGAAGAACTATAAAAAAAACCTGTCATCGGCTATATACTGTGTAAGAAGAATACGAAGTATTGTTAATGAAGACGCGGCAGTAACTACCTATTACGCCCACTTTCATAGCCTCCTATGGAATTTTAATATGGGGTGGATCTACAGAAATAAATAAAACATTCCTGCAACAGAAAAGGGCAGTAAGAGTAATTGCCAGAGTGAGTAGCCAAACATCCTGTCGCCCACTCTTTAAAAAATACTTACCATACCTGCTGTTTTTATACTTACCTGTCTTGTTTATGTCTACAAGAATTTAAAAAACTTTGAGGATTATACTAATACTGGTCACGAAACAAGATTTAACAAAATGCTAAGAATACCAAAGAACAGAGTAAATAAAACTCAAAATTCCTTTGACCACCTAGGGATAACTTTTTTTAATAAACTACCATTTGATTTTAAAAGCAAAAATTTTAAAGCTGCTCTCAATAATTTATTTGTGGAAAATGTGATATATAGTGCCAAAGAGTTTTTAGATTTGTACTTTTAGTAGTGTATTAGATAATAGTTTTGTATTTATATTTTTTAAATGTTTTGTATCTAGATTTGTTGTAATGTTTTGTACTAATATGGATTTCTTAAACTTTTGTATCATTCTTTAAATTGTGTTTTATGACGTGCCTTGTAAACTTTGAAGGTAAATAAACTTATTCTTATTCTTATTCTTGGTACCATTCATCGGGATTATATAGTTAATAATAAAATAATAAGTTTATTAAACCTTCAAATGTTTGTTTACAATGCGTGTCTACAATGATAATATAAAAAGCAGTATTGTAACTATAAAATATACTCATAAATAAATAAAAATACAAGAAACATCACATATTATAATAAATGTATATAAGTCAAGTAACAGATAAATAAAAAATTATATGATTAATATTAAAAGTTCAAAAATTCTTCAATGGAGTAAAAAACATTCTGGATTAGAAAACTTTTAATTGTCTTTTTAAAGAGTTTAGTGTCCATCATCCGTATGTCATCTGGTAATTTGTTTAATAGTTGTATTTCCCAGTACTCACAATTTTTCAGTCTTTTGCAAACGATGTTTAGGAATTACCATTTTATACCTGTTTCGGGTTTCATAATTGTGTATTTGTGCGTGTGTTGAGTACTTGGACTGATTTTGATGTGTGGAATATAAACAGTTATAAATATAGACAGAAGGCAGAGTAAGTATTTTTTCTTTTTTGAAAGATTCCCTACAACTATCACTTATACTAAGTCCACATAACGACCTTACGGCTTTTTTTGTAGAATAAATATTTTCTTGGATTTTGTGTTGCCTCCCCAAAGAAGAATTCTATATGTGGCGACAGCATGGAAGTAGGAGAAGTAGACCATCCTTGCCATGTGGTGAGTACAAACTTGTTTGATTCTCCCTATACAATAAATCGATTTTGATAATTTTTTTGTCATTTCAGCAATTTGTTCGTCCCAAGAGAGATTGGTTGAAATGAAAAGCCCCAAAAATGTTGCACTTTTCTTTTCAGATTGTAATCCAAATGTCAATTCTTCTGTTTTTGTTTCATTTATTTTCAATTTATTTGTTTGGAACCACTCTTTTGATTGTTGCATAACCAGTTTTAATAATTCGGGCTTTGTTTTAGAATTTATGAGAAAAGTAGTATCATCTGCATAACAGCATGTTTTACATGAACTTATATTCCAACTAAGATCATTTAGATAAATTATAAATAAAATGGGTCCAAGTATTGATCCTTGTGGTACACCATATAAATTTTGTAATGGGCTTAAAAGTTGTCCGTTCAATTCCAATAATTGCTGTCTGTTTTCCAAATAAGACCTAATTAATCTAGCAGGAGTCTAACGAACCCCGTAATATTGAAGTTTATCAATTAATATTTTATGTGACACTGTGTCAAAAGCTTTACTTATATCACAAAGGGCCATTTTGGTATATTTTTTTTTATCAATTGCATGTAAATTTTTTTCAAAAACTTCAAGTACTGCAGTAGTGGTAGATCTATTAGCTCTGTACCCATGCTGACAGTCATCCAAAAATTTATTGTTTTCAAAATAATTTTTTTATGATGGTTTCAAAAATTTTTGATATTGTAGGTAATATAGAGATGGGTCTATAGTTTGAGCATAAGATTTTGTCTCCTTTTTTAAATAATGCTTTTATTTTCCCAAGTTTTAGTTCCATTGGGAAAACCCCTTTATAAAGGCACTTGAAAAGTTGAAAAGAATGTTTAGCGTAACAACAATATTTTTAATTTTTTTGAGAGTATTAGTTGAAAGTCCATATATATATATTGTGTTTATTTTCACCAATTTTTGCTATTATGGTCAATATCTATCTATCGCCGACGGTGGTCGAGTGGTTAGTGCTGCTGACTACAAGCCGGAGGTCGTGGGTTCGAATCCCACCAGGGGTATGGCTGTTTATTTGTGTTTGTCCTATTGTGTATTAGTCCTTCGGAGGTGACTTTAAGCCCGCGGTCCGTTCCTACCCCTAACCCGCACAAGCCATTCAGTTGGCTTATGGGACTTCTTAAGAAGTAAGGGTGGAACTAAAAGAGCAAAAAAAAAAAATCTCATGTTCTGTGGTTTCAAAAAAGCAGCAAGATTTTGTAGTGTCAATTTTTTTGTTTAAGTAACTATTTGCATCCTTATTGGTAAGTGGAATTTCCTTAGTTGTATTTTCTCCTACAGTACTAAAAAAAATGTTTAGCTTTTCTGAACTAAGAGTGTTTTCTTTTTCCTTTTCATTATTGTTTTAATGTTTATTGATTACTTTCCAAATAGCTTTCTGAGGATTATTTGCGTTTTGTATGTATAATTCATTTTTATTTGCATTATCTTCTTTTATTCTTTCCACATAAAGCTTTTTATAAGTTTTATAGGCTTCAAGGGAAACCTTATCTTTTTTTACTTTTGAAACCACATCCAGGGCGTCTAGGATATTTTTCATTCTTAAAATTTCTTTGTTTTTTTATGTTTGTTATGTATTTTTGTTATTATTTTTTTCTCTTTTACAGGAAAACTTTCTTCAAAAATATTTTGAGAAGTCAAATGGAAAGTACTGAAGGCACAGCAAGCATCTTTTAATTCAAGGAGTGCTGCCCAGTTTATTAGATTCAGCCTATCATTTAACCAGTTAATGTTTTCTTGACAGAAGCTTCTTGTTTTTATTATTTTTTCAATTTTTTTGTTTTCACTGGTTTTTAGATTAATGATTTGTCCCATGTGGTCAGAAATGTGTAGATTTAATGTTTGTTTATTTAATATATTGTTAGATGTTATATTAGTAAAAATATTGTCAATACAAGTACCATTTGTTTTTGTAACTCTTGATGCCTTGTCCATAACTATTTCCAAGCCGTATGATAAAAGAATATTTTTTATGTTTAAAGAATTTTTTGTATCCATAAGAAAGTCAGTATTAAAGTCTCCAGCCAAAAGAATTTCCATATTTTCTTATTTATTAGAAACTATATGTAACAATAGGTTAATTTTATCTAAAAATATTTCCATGTCTCCAGTGGGTGATCTATAAACAGTTAACAATATAATTTTTTTGTTTTCAAGTAAAACAGCTGTAGTTTCAAAATGTTTTTCTTCATTCAGTACTTTTAAGAAAAATAACTTACTGGATTTTGCCTAGCTTGTGAACTACTTAAAGAACTTGCTCTTCCCCTATTATACCATCGATTTCCTTGTAGGTTTTGTCTTTTTTTGTTAAAATCATAACTCCACCATTTTTGTAAGTTTTTCTGCAGAAGCAACTTGCCATGTTGTAACTACTGCTAAAGTTAAAGCTTTCTATTTGAGATTGTCTTAGCCAGTGTTCTGTAATAGTTGCTACACTTATTGCATGTTCCTGTAAAATATAGTTTATAGCGTCCATTTTGTTAAAGAATGATTGAGAATTTAAATTTAGTAATTTAAAACTATCCTATTTTTATTGCTTCATCTTTTTTTATTCTGTTACCTTGTTTATTTCTCGTTTCTTAAAAAACTTATTAACATAGCATCCTATGGGCCATTTACTTTCTTCCATAGCAGATTCAAAATTACTCAAGTTTACCATGATCTTAAAAGAGGAGTAGTAGTTGGGAAATTTAGACTGCAACTTTGTGCAAGATGTCTCCGGGAAGTCTTTCTTAAGTACGTCTATTATATCGGCTTCTGTTGTGCTTGGGTCCAGCCTAGATACATAGATAAATGCTTTTTTCTCTACAACTTTTAGGTTAGATATGTTTGTTGCACTACCAATGACTGCTTTTGAAGTGTTTTTATTTATGTTTTTTTTGCTTAAAACCGTTGTCCATTCACTGTTGCTTTTTTTTCGCTTCTTGGATTTGTACAATATTTACTTGATCTTTGTTTTGTAAAATTGATGATTTCTTTGATTGTTTAGGTTTTTTGAGTTTTGTTTCTATTTCTGTGGCTGTTGGCGGTACTGTATGACTGTCAACTTTTACCGACGGAGTTGATCTAGTTAAGGTCTCTGTATTCTGTTTGACAAGATTAAATGTTTTCTCGCTAGATGACGCGGTGTCTATATTATTTAATTTGGTTAATAATGCAATTTGTTGTTTTAGAATACTTATTTTGTCTTCTAAATTGTCAATGATAATATCTTTTTGCTTAAGTATGTCTTTAAAGTACTTAACAGTAGTTATATTGGAGCTTCCTTCTTCGTTTATGGCACTTTCGAATGAGGATTCCAAGTCGTCTTCACAACACTCTATTGCTTTCTCATCAATCCAGTCAATGTTTTTAAGCAATTTAGCACAAGCTGTGTGACTGATTGTACCGCACGATATACACTTGGGGCATGATTTGGCCAAAATATTGCATCTTTTGCAATTCTTCTGAAGAGAATCTAACACTGTAACTCAACCAACCTCAAGTTGTTTTAAATATCGGCGTTTATACTTTTCTATAATCGCAAAGTCACGATCAGATGATGGAAGATGCGTGTGTCCGACTACAAAAAATCTGTGCTCTACGGTCTCTTTTTTCTTTAACTAGTTGTTTCCATAGGCATACAACGTCCCAATTTTTGAACTGCCCTGTACAGGTATCGTTATATACAACGAGCTTCCTATATTCATTGGCATTTTTTTTAAATGTTTGTATAGTATACTGGCAATCTCGTCGCCGTCACGTTTTTCCAAATTTTAATCCATGCTTTTTGTTTGGTAAAAAACAGACCCAACCGTTAAATTTGGACAGGTAGAGCCTGTTTTAAATCTAAACTTATGACAAGGGTATCTTTTCTTTGCTTGGCATTTTTCATTTCGTCTTCGAGGCTTTTTTGTAATGCTTCTGCCTTGCGATGATGTAGTTCAAGTTGAGTTTTTAAGTTGTTTGCTGATTCTGATCTGATCTCTGCATTTTTAATCTAAATGTTGAGAAAGTCACATGTGTGGCAAGTGTTTTGGGCAGCTTAGATCCGATGTTAAAGTCATTGCAAAATATTTTCCTGTAGTAACTCTCTTTAACAGGATTCAAACCTTTTCTTTACACAATTCAAGCTAGTAGTCATGGTAGAAAGCAGAAATGGATAAGTCATGATCTATGTAAACCTTATCAGGATTTTTGTGTCTACTATAATGACTTGTGTATTTAGAGATGGACTTAATGTGCGTCTTTACGTTTTCAAGATCACTGTCACTAATCTTATTCGCTCTTGTTTGCATATTTTGGTGTCAACACCATTTACTCTGACGAAATATTGTATTGAAATTTGCGAGGCGATTCATATATTTTTGTTTTTTTTTAAGATACGTTCTTTTTTTGTGTTAAATTTTATTTGAGAAGAAATATTTTGTTAGAAAAAAATTGAACCTACACCTCGCCAAAGATTTTTGTTTTGAATGCGTTCCACCAACTTCAAATACCGACAGACAGCTGTTTCGACCTTTATTGGGTCTCATCAGTGTCGGGCAACTTGGTGTAGTGGAACACAATCAAAACAAATTACTCCCTCAGCTTATATGCTCGGTTGTTAAGTCAACAGAGGCGAGATGTAAGAACATCAGGTGATCCACACCGTCAAACGACGTGGCCTTTGCCGCAATCGGTACATACTATGCAACCGGGACTGCACACAGCAATTGTATCACAGATACTAATATGGCCTAAAGGAATCTAGAATTAACCCAAACGGGCTAAACATTAAGGTAAACATTCAATTTTCTTAGTTTCTTTAAGAAACTTTCTTGACCCATCACTGGTAATATTCATAAGAAAAAAATTGAACCTACACCTCGCCAAAGATTTTTGTTTTGAATGCGTTCCACCAACTTCAAATACCGACAGACAGCTGTTTCGACCTTTATTGGGTCTCATCAGTGTCGGGCAACTTGGTGTAGTGGAACACAATCAAAACAAATTACTCCCTCAGCTTATATGCTCGGTTGTTAAGTCAACAGAGGCGAGATGTAAGAACATCAGGTGATCCACACCGTCAAACGACGTGGCCTTTGCCGCAATCGGTACATACTATGCAACCGGGACTGCACACAGCAATTGTATCACAGATACTAATATGGCCTAAAGGAATCTAGAATTAACCCAAACGGGCTAAACATTAAGGTAAACATTCAATTTTCTTAGTTTCTTTAAGAAACTTTCTTGACCCATCACTGGTAATATTCATAAAAAAAAATTCTTATGAATATTACCAGTGATGGGTCAAGAAAGTTTCTTAAAGAAACTAAGAAAATTGAATGTTTACCTTAATGTTTAGCCCGTTTGGGTTAATTCTAGATTCCTTTAGGCCATATTAGTATCTGTGATACAATTGCTGTGTGCAGTCCCGGTTGCATAGTATGTACCGATTGCGGCAAAGGCCACGTCGTTTGACGGTGTGGATCACCTGATGTTCTTACATCTCGCCTCTGTTGACTTAACAACCGAGCATATAAGCTGAGGGAGTAATTTGTTTTGATTGTGTTCCACTACACCAAGTTGCCCGACACTGATGAGACCCAATAAAGGTCGAAACAGCTGTCTGTCGGTATTTGAAGTTGGTGGAACGCATTCAAAACAAAAATCTTTGGCGAGGTGTAGGTTCAATTTTTTTCTTATGAATATTACCAGTGATGGGTCAAGAAAGTTTCTTAAAGAAACTAAGAAAATTGAATGTTTACCTAAATATTTTGTTTGTTGTAATCTGCTAAATCCCAGAAAGCGTTAAAGATTTCTATTTCTTTTCCTTCCAAAGCATCTCGACATTTTCGGCTGGAGTTACATGAAAGTCCAATTTCTCTGACAGGTACTTGTTTTTGTCGTTTATTTACGTAGTTATGTCCCAAGTTTCGTTTAATTTTTCTTTTGTTTCTAATCTGTCTTTCAAGGTTCGTTTTGCGCCATGATAAAGGAGGAGGTTTTTCTGGTGTGAGGAGAGAACCTTTTTACTTAGAGTAAAATTTTCTGTTTCCTAAAGGAAAACCGCTTTAAAATCTCGCTACAATATTAACTAGTAATTAACTATGATAATATTAAGTTAGAGGTACTAAAACATTCAGTTGGTCATTATTTTTTATTATTCAACATTTGTAATTTTTTATGCTTAAAGGGGATAAGCCACAATTAGATATTATTCAAGATTAATATACAACATAAACATACAATATATATATTTCATTGGAAACATTATCTAACAAGTAATAAGCCAATTTGACATTTTAGCGTAAAGAATATAACTGCATCGGAATTAAAGAATAAAAAATTAAGCCACAATCATTTTACTTAACAAGGAGATAAGCCACATATATTTTTTAATCACCTCCCATCGTCACTTGAAGTTGTTTCACTCTCACTATTACTTTTTTCATAATCTTTGTCCTGTATACTGCCATCAGATCCAAAATGTGATCCACGATCACTTTCCGAATCTTCATAAAATAATGTATTTTGTCGAGTCGTCGTACTGCCTGACTCCGCCGTCGTGGCTTGTCCTGATTTCACACTTAAAATGTTTAATATTTTTTTAAAGCAACAAGGTTTTTTGGTTGTTTGTGGCGCCATCTATGTTACAATTACGAAGTCTCCTATTTTTTAGGTAAGTAGGTGCCTACTGATGTCAAAAATGAGTTTAAAAAAGATTGTGGCTTGTACCGTTGTTGCTCTAAGCGCTTCAATTATTGGATGAGAAAGATTCATGGCAACCCTAGATTGTCACCTGCTTTTGTGAGCAATGAAAATTTAACATTATGGCGAACGCCTTGAACATTGATTCAAATACCTTGGTTTTGTAAAAATTCTGTAAGGAACACCTCAAAAGTTTTACCATTGCCATAATAAGATCTGTAATTGTTATAGAACGCCAAAGCCAAAAACATGTTTTTAAGACTACTGGCATAAGCTGGTGAAATGGTGGCTTTTGTATAATAAAAAAAAAGCCAAGCTTGTAAGAACCGGCATGAGAGCCTAAAGGGATTAATGGTTTCAAAAAACATTACAAGTGAGAAAACTAACTGATCAGTTGATTTTCTTTCTACCTTTTTCCATAAACTACCGTGGACTAAATTAGACATTATGAGGTTCTTTACATTTTTGGAACTATACTTAAGTATACCTATTAAATAGTTTTGGTGGTCGCGAATTTTATTAAAGACCTCTGGAAGTTCTAAAAATAGTTTTAAGATTTTTAGCATAGGCGCAAAGTAGGCATTTCGATTTAAATTTTTAATGCATCCTCATTATCCTTATGTTGTTGGTCCACTGATACGCCTAAACGGATTTCAGCAGGTTTGATCAATTTGTCACATTGCTCAAAATACTGATATTTTTTCTGACCAATTTACGTACTATCTAAAAAAGACTCCAAATAAGGACCACCCTAGTATACCTACTAGGTAACCAAATTGATAAAAATATTTGAATAATACTATGGAAATTACATTAATAAAATAAAACAATTTATTATTTGGAAAACTTAATACTTAATATTTTTAAAGAAGTCTTTGTTAACACAGTGAATTATTGCACAAAAGATATTAAAAAATGCACAGCAAAATATGACTTAGAGAAATTCAAAAATGAAGAATCCTCACATTGCTCCCTTTTTGTCACAGTTTTCTTCTTATGAAGGTTTGTTCGTATAAAATTATTTAATTTAATGCTTGAACAAATAATAAAGAACTACTTTAAATAAAAAAAATTATGAGTACAAGTATAGCAAAACCAATGGCGCTTTTTCAGGTTTCTGTTTACACTTGCACAATTAAAATGATTACATTGCAAACATCTGCAACAACAAATGGAATCTGTCTGACAATCTTCATTGCAAATTGTTCAAAACCAAACATGATTTGACTTATTTTCACCACACAATTTAAGTATAGGGCTTTAGCACCTTGCATCAGAAAAATATTTTCTTATCATTAAGACTGTTTTTAAAAAAGTATTGCTGATAAGATTGTGCCGGTTCCAGAGACATTATCAAACTGAATTATGTAAGCATTCTAGATAGTGGATCATCCATTCAAGCATTTAAAGATCTCTTTCTTTAGTATACATATGAGCAAAGGGGGTATTGTTTGCTGTAGCAGGGTACCTACAGGGAAAACCTGGAAATGTCAGGGAAATTAAATATTAGTAAAAAAGTCAGGGAAAAGTCAGGGAATTTGCTGAATTTTACGAAAAGTCAGGGAATTTAACTAATTTTTACGAAAAGTCAGGGAATTTAACTAATTTTTCTTGATTTTTCCGAAAATTGTTTCTATTTTTATTACCGGCCGAAGATTATTTTTTACAAATAATATAGCCGGGCATTGAAACTAAAATAAATCGTTTGCGCAAATACTTCTAAAATGTATGACCTTATAAACTAAGTTTATTAATTTTTTTATTATATTTTAAGAAATGTTCAAAAAAATTGTAAAAAGAAAAATAAAATATATTTTTACTTTACATGTACTATCGCTAACAAAAAAAACTCATACAGCTTAAAAATCTAGTGTTCCTGATTTTCTATCATTTCGTTGGAGTAATTATGGCTTTTAACATGATACGTCACATTTGAAAGGTCTAAAATTAAATACAAAGTTAGGTTGAAGTTTGAAAAAAAAATAATATTTCGTCATCCCTCTGTTTTTGTCAATTACGCAAACGGCAAAGCATGGAAGTCGCCGTCTTGCTTTATCTCGTTCCAAATGGCTTCAATGGCTTGCCAGAGTTCGTCTGCATTGTTTGGTTGAAAATGTTGTTAAAAAAGTCATAATGGATCTGACAAAGCTCGATGTCAGCTTGACATTGACGGAAAAGTTTTATTCACACAGCCACAATATAGCTGTATGAGTTTTTTTTGTTAGCGATAGTACTATGCTCCACACCTCAAATTCCCACCACGTGACCACGTACGGAACGCAGTCTTTTAAAAATTTGGCATTTAAGGCTTTTCAGGTTATGTATCTGTCAAAGTATAGTCAACGAAAGAAATAATATTATGTTTAGGCGTTAAAAATGTATAAATCTTTATAACATTAGAATAACAATGGATAGTTTAAGAATTTAAGAATATAAATACTGCATTTAATGAAATTCCAAAGTGTATGATGCCAAATAAGTAATATTTTTGTGCATTTGGTCCAAATATCTGGTTTTCTCCATGAAATAATTTTAACTGTAATAGTACGATATATGGGGCAGTTAATTTTTAACATTTCTTAATTTATTATTTTAATCCTCTACAAAATATTAGACTAGTTCTAAATATTTACCTTAAAATTGTATAAACTGTTTGTCTCGTTTCAACACAAAAATATTATATAAACTGCGCACCACTCAATGTGTCGCGACCAAAAAGTTCGTCCTTTTTCAAAACGACATAACTTTTTTGTTTCTTGAACGATTTTATTTTGGTCTGTGATGTCTGCTAACCCCATCCTCTGGCATTTCATGCTATAGCCCACCGTTCTTCAAGTAAATTTCCTACAGGGTGATATGTTTACCGGTAAAAAATTTCAATAACTTCATCCAAGCCCCGTTTGTAAAAAAATATTTTTTTTTTCGTTTTCACTTTGAAATAATGAAGTATTATGTGTTACCTTAAACCGTTTTTCAAATTTTTCGAATTGGAATCTTAGCAACGAAAATATGATTTTTTTCCCAAAAGAGTACATTTAAGGCTTTTTGGTAGGCAATACACTCAGTCTTTTTAAGAACAAGAAAATAGGATGGTGAAAGATTATTTCTTGAATAATTCTGAACAAACGACAAGCAACAAAATTCCATTATTTTCAGAGGGGCCTAAGCAAAAAACACTTTTTCAAAATGTCATTTTGGTAAAAATTTGCGAAAACTAAACCTGAACCGATATTTACGTTTGTGACATGTTTTCTTTATAATTTTGACCTCCTGATTTTGATTCAGTTGTCAAATTTAAGTTTCAGATAAAACCAAAATCACCCAGAATCAAAATTCGAAAACAATTCCCTGCTGTTAAATGTCTTAATAAAATCTGATTGCTGGCGTGTTTCCTGCATATTTATGATGAAAATGCCATTTGGGGATTAATTTTTTGGGCGAAATTACTGCAATTTGTTTGAGTAGTTAGGATAATGTTACACATACACATTTACATATACATTTACATTGCGCAGTAGTGATAACATCATTGATAAGTACCTACCTAATTGGTAATAAAGTTAAATAAAAATATTTTTGTTCATTTTTGAAAATTTTATGCGTAGATATAATCATAATCAAAACTTCAACATTCAACAGAAAAATGTAACAAACAATAACAATAATAACTAATATTTCGTTGGCCCTCCCCTAACCGGTAATAATTCGTTAACCCTTCTGGGCATTCCCTCGAGACAAGTTCCTTAGAAATTCCTGGGGTTCCCCTTTCTTCCCGAATAGCATTTACCAATTCATCCAAATTTTCCATGCGTCCTTCCCTCTCTTTCATCTTTAATTTCATCCTGCTCCACACATGCTCAATAGGATTCACATCCGGAGAAAAAGGTGGCCAATGCATTCTCTCAATTTGGCGGGCATTTTCGTCCACCAACACCAATTATTGGCAACATTTTGAGTATAAGAGACCACGATATCAATAACAAAAAAATCTCTAAATCTCTCAGCATTCTTTTTTTCCATTCATCGCCATTCCACCCCAAACAGTCACTCCTCCATTTCCAAAAGCCACCCTTGCCTCCCGTTTCGTGCAATCTTCTGCGAACCGTTGATTTGGAGATGTTAATTCCCGTAGCTGCAGCAAAGTCTGGCATTGGCATTTTAATAATTTAAAGGAAGAATAAAAGTAACCTGGGTAACATAGGGATAGGTATGTAGGTAGGTAGGTATACCTAACTTATGCAAAAAAACTTTGAAGTTTGGAAAAACACAAGCAAACTGAAAAAATCAAGAATATCCCTCATAATGCGTTTTTAATGTTTTTCAAGAACTAATTTTCATCATTTGATCCTCGATTTGATCATTCAGAGACATGATAATAACGTACTAAAGATGCAAAACACAGTAAAAAAACAGTAAAAACCAGCAATCCGATTTTATTGAGACATTTAACAGCCGTTTTTTGTTTTCGAATCTTGATTCTTAGTGATTTTCGTTTTATCTGAAACTTAAATTTGACAACTAAATCACAATCAGGAGGTCAAAATTATGAAGAAAACATATTAGGAACGTAAATATCGGTTTAGGTTTAGTTTTTGCAAACTTTCACAAAAATGTCATTTTCAAAAAGTGGTCTTAGCTTAGGCCCTCTGAAAATAATGGAAGTTTGTTGCTTGTCGCTTGTTCAAAATTATTTAAGGAACAATCTTTTACCATCTTATCTTCTTGTTCCTAAAAAGACTAAATGTATTGCCTACAAAAAAGCCTTAAATGTACTCTTTTGGGAAAAAAATCATATTTTCGTTCCAATTCGAAAAATTTGATAAACGTTTCAAGGTAACACATAATACTTTATTATTTCAAAGTAAAA